GGTCTGTTAAAGCTAGTCTCAGCTGAATAGAAAACAGAACAAAGCATCCATCTCATGAAGTTCCACACTGTTAGAAAGCATCTTCTAACAATACTGTACGTGTTTGGAGTTCTTATTTATTGCCAAGTGGTTGTGTTTAGGAAGGAATGGAAAGATGTACGAGAAACAATTGGACAACTGCAAACAAAGTCACAAACTGCAGACATTCCAGTGGTTCACAATTTTTTATTTATTTATTTTTTTAACAGCAATACTACAAGCTTAGTCTTTAGACCGCTGTAACTTACTGATGTTAAGCAAAACAGACAGTAGATTGCACCTTATACTGCTCTGCTCATTGTCTGGCCAAGTGATATAGCTCATCAGCCACTATATCAGGAGGTATTTTTTCCTCCTTATGAAAAAGATTTTTCTCTAGCAAAGTGACAGACCAGGGCCTAACAATGCTTTTTGTTTACCTCTATGAAATCATGTCAGTGGCCGTGGAAACATGTAAAAATGGGACAAGATCAGAACTTGGCCTGTAGTTCATTAGTATTTATTCCAAGTTAAAAAGCAAAACTTTCATATAGAAAAGATATAGTCAGACTGCTGTCGGCCATCCCCCGCAGTCGTGAATGACTGTCTTCCATGACTGTCTTATCTGTGGGTCTAAAGATGACTGATGAGACTGATCCAGGATCAACAGACTACTGCAACTCAGGCACATATTTCCACATGGGGTGGGTGGTTCAAGATTCTTGATTCAGTCCACGACATGCTGTTTCTGCTGCTCCCACTTTTCCATCTCCTGTTCTTGTCATAATGTTTCAAGTACTGAGCTTCCTGCAGCAGACTCTTCCTCGATTTGGGGCTGTCTTGGGCGACAGTCTTCCATAAAAACAGCTTTTCCAAAGTGTCGTAACTCTTTAGTTAGCAGAATAATTTTGAAAGATGAACAAGAAATCTTAAACATCACTCACTCCATTTTATACACTACTCTATGCCACAGGTGCTCAACCCCCAGTTTACAGAGCCACAACATTCAGTCCATGGGGCTCCCCATGTGTTGGGCAATTTGGCAGCGGGGAGTAGTGGCAAGTAATACTACCAACTCCTCCTCCACTGCCAAATTCTCATGCCCCACATGGCCAAACTAAGCCCTTCCCCCTCATCTCCACATGGCTAGATCAGAGCCAGGTTGCCCCTAGCCACCCTCTGCACAGTCAGATCAGGCCGCTCACACCCAATCTGGTCCACCAGCTAGATCCAGCCTGTGGACAAACTGGGCACTGCACAGCCATCCCGTAGGGCAAAAAGATTTAGCATCACTGCTCTATGTTGTCCTTTTGCCACATCTGAAAATGTGAACTCAAATTCACAAACATTTGTGCCACATCTATGGCACATAAGTTTTCTATATATACGGCACAAGCTTTTGTGAATTTGAGTTCACATTATCAAATGCTGCAAAAGGATAGCATTATATATGTGTATATATGTATGTATGTATGTGTCTACATACATACACACATATATACATACACAAATATGTTTCTTATATATACATACGCGTGTATGTGTATACACATGTATATACATATGGACGTGTGTGCATATGTGCACATGCACGCACTATAACATGTTTAGCATGCGCGCGCGCACACAAGCTTGTGCTGTATATATCTTATTTAGTTAGTCTATAAGGTGCATATCTACCCTGCCTTGAGTGACTTAGGACTAACACACCTAACCACCTCAAACTTAGACATGCATAGAATACACTTCAGATGTCAAATCACCAACCAAATATGTAGAGCGAGTCGTATTTTGAAGCAACAATAACCGAAAGATGTTGTACAGTAGTGGTGGAGTGATGTTGTAGCCATGACAATCCAGGAATTATACAAGGGGCAAGAATGTTTGTGGATGATATCTTGTATTGGACCAACTGTATGGTTGTGATGCATTTGAAAGCTTGCCTAACTTCAAGGCATTACTTCAGGTGTGAGGAACTGAAGCTTCTTCACTCAGGCATAATGAAAAATACCTTGCATTCAAAAGTTTGTCTAACTTCGTTCTAGGTGCAGACAGAAATTACATTTGCCATGCAAATCAGCCCCTTGAAAGTGCTCTAAACCCATGCCCAAACAGAAGAGCACAGTTGCAGAGTACTCCAATCATACGACAAATGAACCTCCATTATAAGAGGCCTCAAATGAAGGCACGCCAAAGCAGAGCACCTTCATTAACTTCTGTCTGCTCTGGCAGCTGGGCTGAAGCAACTCAGCCCCATCCCCAGTGCTGTCTCAGGATGGAAGAAGGAGAATGCAGGGGAGGGAAATCCATTCTGGGGTTGCCGCCATGCTGGAGGGAGGGGCAGTGAGGGGGCCTCCAATCCACCTGCTCCCCCACTTCCACTCCAGCACAACTAGGCAAACCCCTGAATCGACCTCCCTCCCCTGCCTTCTCCCCCTCCCATCCTGAGACAGCACTGGAGCTGGAGGGGTGCAGGGAGCAGAGCAAGGGGAAGAAGCTGCAGACCCATAGTCTCTCTCATAGCATAGGCTCTAAATTGGAGCTGGATTCCCTACTCTCACAACCCAACAGCTAACATCTTCTGGGCTGGAAGGGTTGGTCTAACTCATGGTGCTTTCTGTAAACTGGCAAAGTTTGTTGATGATACCAAACTATGGGGGAGTCTGGCCACAAACAAAGATAAGCTGGCAATACAAGCTAACCCAGGCAGGCTCACAAGGTGGGTAGACTTCAACCTGATGTTATTTAATATGGAGAAATGGCAAGTGCTCCATCTGAACCCACTTACAGGCTCGGCAGTGCTATGCTTGCCAACATCACAACTGAATGAGACCTGGGTGTCGTGACAGACAACAAAATGAACGAGTCACCAATGCAATGTCGTAGCTGGCAGAGCTAATCAAACACTAGCATACATCTACCAAGGCATCTTGAGCAAGGCAAGGATGTCATCCTCCCTCTCTACTCAGCCTTGGTGAGACAGCAGCTGGAGTTCTGTGTCCAGTTCTGGGCACCGCACTTCAGGAAGGATGTGAAAAAGCTCAAGAGAGTCCAAAGGAGGGCCATAAGCACGATTAGAGGCCTAGAGACCAGATCATACAAGGAGAGGCTGAAAGACTTGGGACTATTCAGTCTGGTGAAGAAAAGACTTGGAGGTGACTTGGTGGCAGCCTATAAATACATCAGGGCCTGGGGAAGCATCTATTCACCAAGGCCCCCAGGGGAGGACCAAAAATAATGGACACGAACTGATTGAACATGGCTTCAGGCTAGACATAAGGAAGAACTTCTTTACAAGTCGAGTGCCAAGAGTTTGGAACAAGCTCCCCCCCACCAAGGTGGTCAACCACCCTGGCGATCTTCACAAACTGTCTTGATGCCCATCTTGCTGGGGTCATCTGACCCCAGCAGTCTTTCTTGCCCAAGTGCAGGGGGACTGGACCCGATGATCTGTAAGGTTCCTTCCAGCCCCTAACAACTACGAAACTATGAGAGCAGGGAGCTGCACTTCTGTCTGTGCCTGCATTTGGTCCACTGGAAGCTATCACCTACAAAAATCCTTGTCCTCAAGAGACATTATGTTACTGTTTACTTACCTGTGTTCTAGTCTCAGATCTCCAGGCATGAGTGGAAACTGCCACTATCACCTAAAATGCAACATTTCCTTGACTGGTTCTCAGTGTTAGCACAGTCATCTACTCTTATAAGAGATCCCAATTCCTGAACTTGGAAGCTAATAAGAATTATAAATGATCCCCCAAGATAAGGATCTCTTACTTGTCTTTCACCTCCTATTCAAGAGGGCTTTACAAAATCATGTATTTTACCATGCTATATTATGCTGAAGCCTTGGATTTTATATGGAATTCAAAACTTGCAATATACTATATTCCATTATTAACATTATTTTTAAAATATTTGCTTTTGCCACACTGAACATGCTACACCAGCATCCACACCTTTAGAGAGACTGACAATTTCCATTTTCAGCATCTGTGCTGTTCTTCCAACAGTTCAGAGTTTGATTTTTGCCTAATTAAAAAACTTAGGGTGAAAGTCATCCCTATCTGTAAGGCCAGGACAAGTCATCTGAATCAGTTAAGGAACTTTATTGATGTGTATGTCTTAGCCTTCCACACAGCAAAGAATTTCACCTGTATTGAGTATTCTGGCTTCACTGTAGCTAGCTCTATAATGTCATGCTGCAGGCTCCAGTTGGGAGACATGGGTAAAGGTCACATTCTGGGCATTAGATTCAGCTCCTGGAAGGTAAGTAGGAGGGAGGGAGTGATGGGGGAGGAGGGATTTTCTACTCAAATAATTACTGACAGTCAGGTATGCAGAGTTGCTAGAAGAAAGAGAAGGATCAGAGGGGAGAAAAATTGTCTTCTGCACTGCCTAGGCACAATTTAGCAAGAAAGGTTTGCCCTGTAGGACTCTCACAGTTAATTTAGGGGGAAAAACACACTTAAGGACAGTAGTACAATACATTAAGTCACTTGCCTATTGCTGTGGCATCACTATCACTTACCAGCAGCAATTTATCTCATAATTCTTTTCCTACTAGCTGATGTTACCTTGGTTTTGACACTGAGCAATCAGTTGTTTGCATCTGGATAATTAAATTTCAGATTTAGTTTGAATTTTTTGCCGATATTCTAAATATACTGGTTCAGAAATCAGTTAGCTGTAAGCAGCTTTTCATGTTAGTAAATAGCTTTGATTTGAATATTAAATTTTTGATAAGGCTGAGCTTGGACAAACTAACACACATCTTCATTGCCACTGTGGAGTGCAAGTCAGAAATAATTAAGAATATGTTATTAATACATTCAGATGATTAAAAAAATGGAAATTGCCAACATTAGCATCTGAAAGCAAAACCCATTGGAGCCCAAGATAGTCAGCACCAATATTAAAAGGCAGCCCCCAATTTCAAAAAGCTTACAGCTGTATGGATATATTATGTTAGATCTCTCTACCTTAATGAAATTTCTTGGCAAGCAGTTGCGGTCAGCCAGCTAGGAGGGAACAAAAGAATATTATGCACTTTATATCTTAATTTAAAATAATGACATGTTATTGTCATGGAGAATTTTAATCTTTATTACAGATGACTAAAATAGAAGGTTTGTGTGTGTAAGTTTTCAATAGATAATGTTAATACTAATATTTGAACTCAAAACCCTTTACAAATCATTGGTGAATTAAAGATTCACACAACCCCTTGTCAGACAAATAAGCATTCATATTTTAATATATCTTTGTTTTGAATACAGTAACTTCCACATACAAGAGGACAATAGTGATACCCTTAATCAGAATGATTTGTAGTTGTTCCACCCAGTGAATTCAATGGCACACAGAATAGTGTATCCAAACACAGTTGTAAGCAGAATCTATCCCAGAATTACTTCATTAACTCCAATACATTTAATACTACAGCATTTAACCATGCAACTCCCTTTGAAACTGATTTAATACACACACATGCACATACATTGTTCTCAGTGGAGTGCTGTTCTCAAACTCAGATCCAAGATGTAATCCCTTAAGAGTGCATGCTCTGGCCACAAAAAACAGTGTACAAAGATGACAAACAGTGATAGCCATGTGTGCTTTGCTACTTCCAGTAGCTAAAATCACTGCCCCTTGCAGCTGATGAAAGTTTTATGCGATTACCTGCTTCAAGTTTGCCTTTGAACATTTTACAGGCCAATATTATGCTTCTTAAATATCCATATAAAAAACACGCATTCTATAACTACATTTTTAAACATGAATAAATACAAGCCAAACCCCACTTCTTCCACACCAATAGTACTGGAATACAGTTTCACCACATGAAGTTAACTAGTAACTAAATTAAGTTTCACCAATTAAAAGTTATTGCTACAAATCATGCTTCAAAGCACATGCAGGCAATGCCCAGCAAAGCCCATACAACTCCACACACGAAGAGTCTTATTAGCTTCAACAGGACTTCACCTGCATGCTGGAAGTCACAGCAAATAGCCATGAATGTACTGGGACCCAAGTGTTTCTTGTTTGCTAGTATAAAAAGGAACGTCTCAAAATACTGTAGTTAAGGGATGAAACTAAAGAATCCTCTGTTTAAATAAAAACAATCTTTTGCTGCTTCAGGAATTGATTTACAAATGTCTGATCAGTTTCATTATCCCTATTTTACAGTTAGAGAAACTGAGGCAGAGAGTGGGGAAATTACTTGTGCAAGGCTATTCAGCAGATAAGTAGCACAGCCAGGATTAGACTCAATGCTACAGTTCCATGAGCCTTGCACAAGGCTAACGATCCACGCATTAAACTGCTGGCACAGCGCAGGTTAATACCACTGGTGATTCACCAAAAACTCTTAACTTTTAACTTCTCTGGTTTAAAACAACGGAGGGGACCCTTGAGAGAAAACATCACAGAAGGCTGTGATGTTTCAAAGCCTATCTCGAGTTGCATGCAAATATGCGTGTATGTGCATATGCATTTAGGTTTTAACAATACAGCTGGATCCTGGCCTTACTGGCACAAAAGCAAATCAGGAATAGGATCACTAATGTGAATAATAATAAAGCTAGTGTAGGAAAAGAACAGCATGTGTAGACTTCAGAACCTACATCTTGGCTTTGGCTTCCACAGTGAGATGTTCATGTACTATTTGAAGAGGGAAAGCAGCAGAGATGTTATTCAGCTGAAGTGGTGAAAACTGGATTTTTAGTTGACAGAGAAGAGAGAATGCTGTGGGGAAGGTTTAAATGAATAGCAAAATATTGCTAATAAGAGGTCTGGCAGAAGATTTCAGCATATAAAACTACTATTGTAAAAAAAAAAAAAAAAAATTATCAGCATCTCCATGGGGCATAGGCAATAAAACAGTAGCTGTAACAATACCAGGTCTTCTGTGGAAATTGAGACAGGGAGCAGATTTACTACATCATTAATATTCAAGGATGTCTGTCTTTTCTTCCCTTTTTTTAAATGAGAAGAGAAAGATCAGACCAGTAACTCATATGAGGCTCATGTAATCGTCTCAAACCAAAATACAGTATATAATCACAGAACTGGCAGTCTTTGCTCAAGAGAGACCCATCCTGGAAACAGCTGAGGCTAGGGTAGGGGCTCCCTCAGCAGAATACACAAAACAAAAGTGGAGTTGTTTCCATTGCTATTTAGTGGCTGGTCTATGGCTCGTGAGCAATGAATTTGGGAGTCTCAGGGCAGCAGAGGCTGACCATAATATGTTAGCCAGCAACCTAATCAGCCATTTCACCCAATAACAGAGAAGCAGACAACAGAACAAACATTGGGGTCAACCCTCCCCACTTCGTTGGCCACTTTTCTTTGCTCATTTGATTGTCTTTGGCTGCAGTTTAATGGAAAAGCCCTCTTGCAGAAGGGAACCACCCAGTAGCATAAATTCAACCACGTATGGCAAGAGTAAACATGCCCAGTCATACCCAAGCCTCAACTTAGTGGTGGTTTCCAGAAAAAAAAGCAGATATGGCAGAGGTGGGGGTACACACCTAACCGCATACTGAGTTTCTGCTGCCATAAATTAGAACAACATCTTAGCTGCCCCATAATGACAGCACAGCTAAGTTGGCATGAATCCCTGATGGCTCTGAAACCTAAAGGGCCTGATTCTTTTCTCACATCAGTTGTACAATTACTGATATCAATGGGACTATACAAGGGCTTAAACTATTCTCTGAAGTGGAATTTGAAAGGACAGAAAGAAATACCTAAATTAATGCCTAAGTGGTGGTGGTAGTGATGTTTTATGAGACATTTTGAACAATTTTTTAAAATTCCCAACACAAATTTTTAGAGTTTATTTTTTGTTTTATAAAAATTAAATTGAAACATGAACAATTATTCATTTCTGAAAACAATTTTGGATGCTTAGCTTTTGGTTTGCTGCTTTTTTTGCTTGCTCTCCTCCCCAGCCCCAGCCCAAGCCCAGTATCCAGGTGCTTAAGGAAGAAAGCATGGCTAGTGGTAGATTAGGTGACCCTTGGTATTCCTTGTCCTCTTTGAGGACAGAAATAGTTTTCACTTGTACAAAGCTGGTGGCCACGTTGATAACAGTGGAGAGAATGAAGACTTTCTGGAGAGGAGGCATGAACCATTTCTGCAGACAGCATACCAAAGAATTACAGAGGACTGTGAAGGAGAAACTGAAGAAAAGGCAAGGTACCTGGCAGTTGTGATTTCAGAAGACAAAAGAGAAACACAGTATATCACACACACATAGAAACATGCAATCACTGTCAGAAATTCAGTACAGGTGGTTTTGCTGAGAGTGCTTCAGGATAGATTAATGGGTAGAAGAGATGAGAAGCAGGCCCCACTAATACCGAGAGAGGAACTAGCAGATGGCAAGAGTCGCACAGCTCTAGGAATAGGGGTTCTACCATCACCACACCCAAAGGAGAAGGATGATGATAGTGGTGACTAGGGACTCCCTCCTGAGTGAAATGGAAGCACCCATTTGCAGCCTAGATCTAGAATCCATTGGAGACATGCTACATGCCCCTTAGCTTGCATTCAGGACATGCTGGAGAGTTTGCCATGACTCACCAAGCCCTTGGTCCTCAACCCTTTCCTACTCATCCACATGGTTACTAATGATGCTGCCAGAAGTGACCCCAAGCAATTTAAAGGATACTATGCGGCTCTGAAGAGTGGATTTCCAGGAGCCTGGGGTACTGGTGTTATTCTCATGGGCCTCTCTCTTTACCAGGAAGACTAAGTAGGGATCACTGCATTCTAAAAGCAAAGAAAGGTGTGATTGGTGATGGTGATGTCAACAGGAAGGCTTTGGTTTCTTCAATAATGGGTTGATGTTCCACAGAAAAGGATTGAAATCCAATCCAGAGGGTGGGAAGAGCATGTCTGGACATCAACTCAAGAACCAACTCGATAATAATTTATCCTGAAGCACTCTCAGCAAAACCACCTGTACTGAATTTCTGACAGTGATTGTGCGTGTTTCTCTCTCGTCTTCTGAAATCACAACTGCCAGGTACTTTGCCTTTTCTTCAGTTTCTTCTTCACAGTGCTCTGTAATTCTTTGGTCAGGCTGCAATTGGAGTACTGCGTCCAGTACTGGGCGCCACACTTCAAAAGGGATGTGGCCAGCCTGGAGAGGGTTCAGAGAAGGGCCACCCGCTTGGTGAGAGGGCAGCAGGACAGGCCCTATGAGGAGAGACTGATGGACCTGAACCTGTTCAGCCTCAGCAAGAGGAGGCTGAGGGGGGTCCTGGTGGCTGCCTACAAGCTCATCAGGGGAGATCAACAGCAAATAGGCAGAGCCCTTTTCTCCCCAGCACCACCTGGGGTGACAAGGAACAATGGTCATAAGCTGATGGAGAATAGGTTTAGGTTAGAGATCAGAAGACAATATTTTACAGTTAGGGTGGTCAAAATCTGGAACCAGCTTCCCAGGGAAGTGGTCCTCGCCACTACCTTGGGCAAATTCAAGAGGAGGTTGGACGCTCACCTGACTGGGGTCTTGTGAACCCAGCATTCATTCCTGCCTGTGGCAGGGGGGGGGGGGGGGGGGGGTTTTG